AAACGGAGCGCGCTGTGAGAGAAGAAGAGAGAGAGAGAGAGAGAGAGAAAGAAAAAGAATCTTCCGAAAGTCTTTCGCGCGACAAGATGCGCCGGGATGCGTCGCGAGGCGATGTCGTCGCGAGATTTATTGATCCTCTTTGCGATGACATCGGATCGATGGTGGGCGGGAGATGACGGCAATTGTTGCAAGATTGCCGTCGCCAGAAACCGGTAGATCCGCGTTTTACACGGCGGGGTTCCGTGTAAGGGGAAGGGCGGCGGAGGGGATTCCAGCAATTTACGCCGGTAAATCCCGAATCCCGAGGGAAAAACTGAGATTGACGTTGCCGTGCAACTGCGCTCGGGACCGATGCGGTGCGACGGGGCGACGGAGACAGCATCGGCAGGCAATCCGGATGCCTCGCGGATGTCAGGGGAATCTGGGGATTCGAGCCAGCTGATGTTCTCCAATATGGAACTCGGACGCCGACTATGGGGAAGAAAGGAAAAGAGGGGGCGAGAGAGAGAGAGAGAGAGAGAGAGAGAGAGAGAGAGAGAGATATCTCCTTTGCTCTCGAGCGAAATGTGCCGGTCGGAAAAGACGTCGAACGCGCTGACGAAATTTCGATGGAGGAACCACGCCTTAGAGATATCCGTCGACGTCGACATTTAGTCGCTTCGATCGAGACGTTACGATTGTATTATTATTGTTTATTACCTCATTGTGTCATACGAGATGATTTATCGTCGACTGATTATTATCATCGGCCGATTCTTCTATACACTATTTGCCAGTTTTTTTTGTTTTTTTGTTTTGCGCTATAATTGCACGGCGTATTTAATCGTAAGGCTCATTTAATGACGTATGTGTGGGAACGTGTAATGTGGATTGGTTGCGTGCGTGTGCGTAATTTCTCATAAAAATTTACTCTTTTAAGCTTGCAAAGCAACGATATTGAATCTGTGGTATTTTTTATTTCTTTTAATACGACAGAAGGAATGACAATTGCGTACAGTAGGTACAAATGCGCACAAATGCCAGCCATGTGAATTAATTTTACGCATGTTTCTCCTTTTGTTTTTGTATGCATGGCAGACATGCCTCTCTGCGAATGATAATGTACCACCGCGACGTCGAATTCCGACTTTACGCCGTCGCGAAATAATTAAATCATACATCGACTATTGATTCGCGGCGATTGAAAAGAATGCATAAAATGTTTACTGAGCGTATCTCGGTTCTCAGTCGCGTTTGCAAAGGCGCATTTAGTGGAGCACGGAGGCAAACGTATTTTTTATTCTATTTTTTTTTTATCGACAATGAAATTACATTGTAAATTTTAAGCTGATAAAGACGACGTGGCCTCCATATCGAACTCCTATCGTGGTATCCGTATTAAATATTATAAAACACGAAAAAATTTGTCTTACAACGCTCCGTTTTGTACCGCCATCTGCATTGAGCTGGATCTTGTTTTCGCAAAATCGCAACCGGTAATACAGAAATCTATGCGCGAATTGCAACTGCACTTTTGTCTCTGATGCTATGTCGATTTAATGCGTTTGTGATACGAAACGCGTGATTAAATAGGATTTAGGTCATGTGGAAAAAATATTACAAACTCGCTAAACGCCATAACGTGTATTAACTTTAGATTAGAAATAAATTAGACAAAATTAAATATTTATTTATTTTATATAAATAACAGAGAGCCCCAGACTTTTTGTACAAACTTTAATAGTATATTCTATGAGCGGAAGTAAAAAAAAAGTTATATAAATGTATATATTGGTCCTAAATGCTTTATTATATATAAAAAGTTATAACAAAAATATCAAGCTTATTTTGATGACACTTCAAAATATAAAGTCAGATAAAACTGTTAGATAAAATTGTTTCTCACACTTTATATTGTTGTCTGCAATTTAACATATTCCTTGTTATATATAATCATTGTTTAGCATATGAAAATCGTATATAGCAAAATATTCAATTTAGTGTGTAGATATGTTGGAAAGAGAAGAGTATCTTTTAAGTACGTGCGCAGCTGCACGTTTTATAAAAAATGAAAGAGATTGAAAAAACAGATCAACAATGATGAATCAATTAATAAAATATGTAATTGAAATCGAAAAACTAACGTTAAAAATTGATTGTTTACATATATATAATTATTTGTTGTAGTACCTTTGAAGATTGTATGAAGCAATTTATAAAAAGATCAGGTAAATTGACTGAATTTGTTGAGTAAATGGGACAACATAACAATTTTCCGATAGCAGAGTTAATTATTAATTTTATGATATTTTATGCATTAGTTAATTATCTATTATTATAACTGTTAATACATTGTCCCACATTCCTAAAAGTCTTGATTATCTTATTTAACGTTATAGAATCGCATGATTTCTTTACATAACGTTGGCGTGGGAAAATGCAGTCAAGAAATGATAACATGAATAAGTAATGATAAATCAAAGCAAGGTAATCTTAAAGAGACGCTAAAATCTTCTATTTTTGAAAATCTCAAAACAACGTTTCTCAATAAATTTCCGAAATCTCCGGGATGCTGTGCTCCTCATAAATAAGTCCTAAACAATAGGTATAGTAAATTTAAGTCTCAAGAAATTGACATCAACAATTACAGTCGATTATTTTTTTCACATTCAATGTGGCTGATCAATTTCATAAGGCTTAAGATTTACTACACCTATTGTGTTTCAAACTAACAGACGAATATGTATGTATAATTAGAATTCAATTTTTTTCATTTGTTTTTCAACCTCAGGTTCACCGTCGTGATTTATTATTATTATAGGACATCTCGTACAGTTGTATCCATCAAATTATACACGAAATTTCGTCCTCGATTTTATCACCAAATTATAGATCTTAGGCAGCCTTCGAATCTGTGCGTTTATATTGTTGCTGTTACCTCTCTGATTTTCAGGAGATTCCGGCCTTTTGAACGAATCCCCGATTTTCCGGCAGACGGAAAGAATCTCTAATTAATCGCTCTAAATTTTGGTAACTTTTTTAATGCGTGCATCCGATTTCAGATAAAAAAAAATCTCGTATCTCTCCATCTCTCGCCATCAATCTTCAACGAAATATTAGTCGAAAGGTGGTAATCATTTGTTGAATGTTATTTAATATTTCATGAAGAATTTCGGTGAAAAGAGCATTTCTCATTCGTATTTTTCCCTTTGCAACATGTTTTCGTCAGTAGGTACAGGAAAGGTAGTAGCGTGCAAGACACGCGTTCACTTTTTATGCGCGTTTCGGTAATCTTATCAGATGCCGGTTTATCGCGAACATCTCAGCCAACCGCGGGACGAGAGGGGCGGTTGGGCGGAGGGGAGGGAAGGGTAAACCTAGACCTACACAACGTGTACAATGATACGTGCCACGTGACAATACGCGGCCCTCGGTATGACCTCACGCAGCACAAAGCGCTGCACAATGTGGGTCTCCGAGGCTATGCAAATCCACAAGTGAACATGTGATGACCTAAACGTTGACTCCGCTCTATTCTACTCGCGCGAGTAGCAAACTTGCGACTTGCTTACGAATTATTCGACGGTTCCGTCATCTTGAAGGTGCTGAAATATATGAATTAAATGAATTATTAAAAGTTCAATTATACAAAGAAAGTTGTCAAAATCTACAATATTTTAAAATCTGATAACATAATTAAATCATAAGACATTATCACTTTTATATACATACCGAAATGGTTTGATATTTAAAAAATGTTGCACGATTATATCAATTAAAAATATTTGGGTAATTCAAGATGTACATATACCTTTTGATTTTTTATCGTAATAAATCGTTTCGTTCACGTAGGACTACAAGTTGCGAGGTAACGATAGAATCTCTTTCATCGAGATTAAATATTTCGATCCATACGCATAAAGATGAAATAAATGCGTCTGATAGAGGCAAAAGCACTCGCAAGAATTATCTTGATCTGCTTTGTACTGTGGAATACTTCTCTCAAACGAATGCATTGATTAATTTAATCTTAAAAGGATTTCTTATTGCGTATATATATGAATTTATAGGTTTTTGCGGACTGTTACTCGTACAGGCAAATGCTCTGATTTCAAAGTCTAAGCAAATATTTTATATTATTTTCATTTATATCGCTTGAAAGCACACTTGCTCTATTTTGTCAATATAATTCATTTATCGATGATTTGCAGCTTGCATTATATTTGTATACATATATGTATTATAAAAATCGTCATTTGTAAGACGGCTAGAAAAATTTATTAGAATTACACAAATATAACACAATACAAAAAAAGTAGATGTAAAAATAATATTTCACATCTAGGATTTCAATATTTGAATTTTTTATCATGAAATGTCTATATTAATATAACAATATATTGTTTCAAAAAAATTAAATGAATTATTAAAAGTTCAATTACACAAAGAAAGTTGTCAAAATCTACAATATTTTAGAATCTGATAACATAATTAAATCATAAAACATTATCATTTTTATATACAATTCATACCGAAGTGATTTGATATTTAAAAAATGTTTATATCGATTATATCAATTAAAAATATTTGACATGTAC